TTGGCTCTACCAAACAGTCATCTTCTACCAATTCAAGAATGACAAAATCAATTCAACAAATGGGTCATATCTCAATCAGGCAACAATATTGCTGAAGTTCAAATAATGGGGTACCAATATTCCCTGTCTAGAGCAGATATCAAGGCTTTGTTAAGCAGTTGAGCTAACTCAGTAATAAAGATTGGATCTTTATTAGTAAAATAAGAGAAAGAGGGCATTAAATTAACAACTACAACAACTGAGCAAACAACAGCTGTAATCATCAATACAGACTTCAAGAATGGAACTTGAAGAAAAGGGGTTGCTTTTAAAACATGAAAAGAGAGAAATCACTGAAAATTGAAGGGAATAATGGGGGAAAAAAGCAGTAACTCACACCTGCAACTACTCTTCAAACTCACCATTTTTTTTTGTGGGGTCCTTTACAATTGAGTGAGAGAATATTTTGGGATTATGCCAAGATCCCTTCTGTAATGATACTGTTTAATTACAACTAATACTAGTACTTTTTTAATTGGTTTTTGCAAGAAAGATTACTTATGATGATGATGATATCAGGTCTCTGCTTCTGCTTAGTTGTGATTTGTGTGGAGAAAACAGTTTGTATAAATTCTCTCAGGTTGGTAGAAGTTTCCTTTGAAGTGTGATAAGGAAAAAGAAAAAAAAAGGAAAAAAGATAGTTTCTTGTGAATTATTTGTCATTTGTTAATTTTTGTCATACTTCTACTTTTGTATCCTAGCAAACATGTCTTTACTAGTTTGGATAGAACTCTGCTTATTCTTTTTTTTTTCCAATCTTTTCGGTAATTTTATATTTAGTCGAGACTTTAATATGAATTCTGAACGACAGATAAGATATCAAAAAATGCTATAGATATTCTTTTTCATTTTGTCATGCTAAATATAATTCATTCACTATATTTGTAAATATGATGAAAAGTAGAATGGTATTATATATTATAACGAGATTTTTAATTTAATTTCAATTGGTATTTTATGCTTTCAATATAGATACTTAAATTATCGAAAAAGGTAAATGCATGTATTTTGCATGATATAACGTGTGATATACCAATATGAACTGAATTGATTATCCTATCACTTATCATTCTAATTGGACAAATATATATACATTTTTTTTTTCATTTTATGGTTCTCCTAAAATATAGGGTGATATTGTTTATCGGGAAAAAATAATTTTTTTAAAAGTAGAATTTCTGTACTTTGATATTAGGTTGGAGGTAGATTCGAAAATCGTACGTTATTAAACTGCTTAAAACGCTAAAATATTATAACTGTAAAGTAATTTTTTTTCGAAAAGAGATCATGTCATCTAATAAATTATCAAAGCAACCTCGATTATAAAAAAATATCGATTCAATATTTTCTCGACCAAAAAAAAATGACAAGCGTCTCTTTAATATCGACTCAACCACATGCCATAATATGATTCATGCACTTTTCAAAAACGTCTTTTTTCTTTGATATAGTTATTTCTCAAATTAAGTGTCAAAGTAAATATAAACAGGCTTCTAAAGGACCACAATCCTATCCAACATTATCACATTGAGCATATTAATACTCCTTTCGTTTAAAAAAAAAATGATCTAGTTTATCTTAAAACGAAATTTAAGAAAAGAAAAAAGTTTTTTTAATATTGTGATTCTAAATTAAAGTTATGTCAAATGTATCAAAATATTCCGGTCTTAACCATGCCACGTGAAAAGTTAAAATTAAAATATACAAACTAAAAAGGAAATAGAAACAGTCTTTTAAAAACGGAAAGAGTAGATATTTTATTTGTAAAAAATGTTATATTAAATACTTTTCTAGTTTTGTAAGTTACAAATTAAGACTAATCAATTCTTAGCATATTAAAAGTGGCTTATTTCTCATGATCATCATTCTTTTTGTGTTGGATTTTTTTAATTACGTACGATAACTATTTTATTCAAAATATATTATTTTTAATCCAGATAATTACGTTAGCACATAAAATATCGATTATTTTATTAATGTAACCAAAACAATGTTTCTTACGTGACTCTATTTTATTAAAAGAAAAACACAATCATATTTGAAAAAGTCTAAACCTATTTAACTTTTAATATGAAATTCGAACATCAAGATATTTACTTGGACCAAAATTATCAAATACGTTTTTTTTTCTTAACGAACAAAAAGGTAATCTAGTCTAGCACAAAAAAAAAAAGGAATCATCAAAATATTTATTTGAAAGGGGGTAATTGCAACATTTATAAATTTGAAGGTGCTAATTCTATAATTTAGAAGAAATACATGGGCTTTATCATCAAAACGTTAAACATTACCATACTTTAGGTCATTACCAAAACTACCCTTCTTCCCCGTCAATATGCAGAATATAAATTCTGTATTGCAATCAGAAAAAAAAACCCTAGCTCTGTCCTCAGCGCTTCCGGCGACTATTTCCGTCAAAGGTCAAAACCCTAGCTAAATCAAACTGAGTATCTAAATTCTCTGTAATTTGTTATTTCACTGATATTTTGCCCTTTGTTTTTGCAACTTCTGCAGGTACTTGGTGAAAATTCTTCGAGTAACGAAGTTCTGTTGGAGCTGATTAGGTTAGTGTGCGATTTATATGCTTAATCAGTATTATATGCTTCGTCTAGATTAAAAATAGACATTTAGTAATAGATAGTTACATATACGTGTGTGCAGGTGTATCCATTGTTTTAAACCGAGTGTTATATGTATAAAAAATGATTTTATAGTGAGCTGAATTTGTCGTCGCGGAGGGGTGATCAATGCATTTATATTTCGAATCCGGTGACTTAAGCTAGAATTGCATTTACTATTTTGATAAAGTGATCCCTCTGAAAACGAGCTTGTTCAGCTTCTTCCGCATTTCGGAAAGTTAAGTTAGGGAGTACTTGATGAAGAGATATGCTACTTTGGTGTAGTATTAAGTTATTTTGCATTAAGGGTGTTTTGATTGTTTTGATTGGGAATGAAATGACACAGCTTATTTTTGTTAAGCTATGGATTGTTTTGATGAATATAGATTTATTTTACCTTTTAAATGTATTTGACACAAAAGAGTAGTTGGATCTCCATTTTGGTGATTTTATCACTTGGTTATGTTTGCTTAAACAGCACTGCGGGAAGAAATTAAGTTAGACATGGTCTTGGTTTTTGGCATGGTATCTTAATTTTGTCTATTGGTATAGGCTGTTAGTTTAGATTATTTTGAGAATATAAACGATAGTGTGCCCACCATAAACATTTTCAAAAAAAAAAAAAAACTATAGTGTGCCCTTTTGGTCTAAGACTATTTTGAGAGTATAAACTATTTTCTTGATTGGCTTCTAAGTGTAGTAAGTGTACGAAGTGTCAAAACCAACTTGTGAAGTGGATTAGTTTATGTTCCTCTCTCCATTTCCTTTTATCTATTTTTGGCCGGTTTTGAAAAAAGAGCATCTCACAGACACTATTCACATAACAGTACTTGTGACTGCGTAACATCCTAACGGCCCATTTTGGTATAGACGCATACATTTTCTACTCTATGGGGTTTTTTGGTAGAGTGTATAATTGTAGTGTGGAATAGGGTGTTTTGGTAATGTTGATAATAGTTATACTAACATTAGTTATGCTTAGATTATTTTTTATGCTCGATTTGGTTTGGTATATTAAAAATAACTTGCATTGCATAATTTCTAAAAAAAATTATTTGTTCTCAAAAGTACCTTCCATAAATATGGTGGTAAGGATGTGGATGAGGTTTTGAAGGGCAATTGTGTCTTTAACATGCTAATGCATGCATTATGAACCCTTGCATTGCTAATACCACGTATTAGTTACACATAGCATAATACCAAATAGAGTGAATAACTAAGGCTTGGATTAGTCTAACATAGGCTAAAAAAGTATACCAAACAAGGTATTAATACACAAAGCTAATGCATGCATTATTTTTTCTAATGCATCCTTACCTAACTAACAAATTCAGTATGGTCGTTGATGCATGCGTGTTAATTGTAGTTTGTATGACCAGAACCAGACATGTGGCGTTTAAGCCTACTATAGTTGAATAATAGCTGCTTATAATCACTTTCCTGGTTCTTATGTGCCTTGGTTATTTGTAGGGATGGCTCCAAAGCAGCCAAATACAGGCCTTTCTGTGGGTCTTAACAAAGGACATGTTGTTACTAAGAAAGAGTTGGCTCCCCGCCCTTCTGATAGAAAAGGGGTAAGTTGTTTTCTTGTTTCCATGCTTTTGATCTCTTTGTTTTTTATTGTTTCGGATGTTAACCATTTCGGTTATCTAACCAATATCTAAACTCATCCACACACAAAAAAGTTACTCTTAAAATCTAACTTTATCAGGACTTCTAATAGGTTTGCTTCTCTTTGTCTCTTGTTTAGAAAACCAGTAAGAGAATACATTTTGTTAGAAGCCTTATCAGGGAAGTAGCTGGTTTTGCACCTTATGAGAAGAGAATTACTGAGCTTCTTAAAGTTGGAAAAGACAAACGTGCTCTTAAGGTAGCCAAGAGGAAGCTGGGTACTCACAAGAGAGCAAAGAAGAAGCGTGAAGAGATGTCCAGTGTTCTCCGTAAAATGAGGTAATTGACAGCATTTCAACTTGAATGTTATACTTTTATGACTACTGTTTTTTACTAGGCGCTTATCTCTTGTCTTTGTGTGATCCAGGGCTACTGGAGGTGGTGAAAAGAAGAAATGAGTTGTATGCTAACCCCTCAATATGAAATGTTAGGTTCTGAAACTGCTTTGCCAAGATCTACTTTTTAGTATCTATTTGATTTTTGATCATTTTTATTGTTGAACACGTAACACTCAGCCTTTTATCGCTTTTGTTTCAGTACGAGAATTGTTCAATTTTTTTTTGACATTTCGATTTTGCAACTCATTTGTATGTGAATTAAAACTGTACCAAGTCTTGTATCTGGAATACCAGATACATTTTGTAATGTACATACTTAAAAGGAGAGGCGAGCAAGAAAGACAGATTGATACATGCAAATCTTCCTTGAGTAGTCACAACGTTCATGAAATTACATTGGATTTATTTTTTCCTGAATAAAGAGCGAGTGTTAGTCAACTAAAGACATTAAACAAATGACATCTTGAGATCAAATCATATCCTAATAGAAGATGAAACTTGAAAAAAACAGAACAATAACTTTTGACTTGAACTATCATAGGTCGATCTATGTAACAACTTCAATGCCTCTTTTCGCGGGGGCTAGGAATATATAAAGGTGACAATGGCAGGCCAGTTCTGAATGATAGAACAAAGATATGGTCATAGCTCGACTCGCAACCTCTGTAGTGTTTACTTGAGCTCTACAGCAGTGTTACTGCTAATGAACCTGTAGTGACTAGTCCTCTTTTCTCATTCGACCTGGCATGGATTAGAGCATTGGTCGAAATGGAGGTAGTTTTCTGGCTGGCCTCAATAAGCCCTCTTGAGTAATTGACGCTACGAGCTGGAGATTTAACAAGCATTAAAAATAGGCACATAAACAAAGCAAGAAAATAAAACGAACGAAACACGCTTAGGCAGCTCACAGAATTCACATTTCAGAACTAGTACTTTACCTCTCCCTTCCTATTAAACATTTGCCCCCACACAAAGCCACGTGCATTATAAGCAGTCGGACTGTTGATCTATAAAATGATAAACAGTTAGAGCGAAGGCTGCAAGTAATGGAAACCACGAGTAAAGAGATGATGGCTCTTAAAAACATCACGAGTACTTTAGCTTTTCTTTCTTACCACAAACAATATCCAATCATCAGCTCTCACAGGTCTGTGGAACCACATCCTGGGAAAAGGGCGGAAGTGAAAATATAAGTACATTTGCATGCCAAATGTTTTCCTTTAACAAGCAATAAAAGACACTCGTGATTCAAGTAAGATATTCCAGGGAACACTATTTTGAGCTTTAAATTCCATGTGTAACGTTATGGGGGAATCTCATCAAAGACCTATCAGAATCTGGAAAGTTCGGATTTCCTCTCTTTCATGTCAACAACACAAAAATTTCTAAGTTGGAGACATTAATTTCCCATCCTATAAGAGACTATTGCTACAAGAAGTTGTAAACTTGTAATTAGCAAAAAGAGGTCCAACTGAGACCATCTGGGACAGGTTTAACACATTCTGAATGACTCAACACCACTTCAATGCCCTCCAGTAACTCCTTCACCAGTAGTGGAAGTAAAACCTAGGCTTGGACTTCAATTACCAACATCACTCCACCATATCCCTTCTTCACTGCCACCTTATATTGTTCTTTTACCTTTCTATTTATTTTCCCAACCAAAGGCAGGGATCGGACCCACACAGGTGTGTTATGAGCAGCCTTAAGTCAGGTAAGGAAGGCTCTGTATAAGTTTGTAGGGACTACAGGTTGTAGGTTTCCCCACCCTGTATGATGCCGCTTAACCATCAGAGAGGCCCAGTGGCAATTTCTTCAAGGGACCATAGTTCATGGCTGAAGAATCAATAGATGAAGGCATGCGTAGGCAAATCTGTGATGTTGTGTTGTTAGAAGTGAATATTCAAGAGTTTGAAAGGCAATACAAGCAAAAATTTGATGATAAGCTGCTCAGGCAAACATCGACATATTCTTAATAAATATAAAGATGGCACATTTAAAGAAATAAAACAAAATAGTCTAAAAGTTGTTGGAACTCACGAATGATCCAGACTAACAGAACTTGTCTCGAAACCCATCTTTCGGTGAGGATTCAGACTGACTGAAAGAAAGATTAGATCTGATGTATATGCTGCAACACATCTGCAACAAGCATAAATATTGCATGAAAAGATGCAGACTGTTATATGGACTCATTCTGCAATAAATGTAAAAAAATTTGTATGCTAAAATAATATGTTCCTGATTTTAATTTCTTTTATGTTCCCTTTTTGATGGTAAATATAAACCTACAACTTACAAGGAAGAAAGATGACTTTGAAGAAAAAAAATATACAACTTTTGAAGCACTAATATTAGCTATACACGGTCCCAAGTGGGAGTATACCCAAAGAAGTGCAGATAACAAAGTTGTATTCACTTGTGTACCCCCAGTCCGCAAGTTCTTTTTGGAACTCTTTCTCTATCAATAACAAATCACCTTATGACAGTCTCTTGCTGAGATCAGACAAGGCTACTAAACAGACTGCTTTGCTCCTTTTAAGTATGAGCTCAGCTAATTAGATAAAAGAACTGATAGATTACCTATGTAAGGCCTGGTCATCTGAAAGTTTTCCTTTTGCTCTGAACCAATATCTCAAGCTGTGTGGGAAAGAGATGATGAAAACCTTGGACTGTCAGTTTAGTTAATTACAGTTGCTACCTCAGAAGGGGAAATAAATAACTGAAAGCACGACCAACCTTGGAGGAGACTTGGTGTAATTAGTGGCATTGTTAGGTTCACAAAACCTTATCTCTATTGGCCATGGAACAAATTTTGCAGTAGAAACCTTATTTCGGTATGTCCTGTCAAAACTCTCTGTTAGCATCACCTAACGAAGGATCCCAAAAACAAGTAACCACAAACAGAATGAAAAAGCTTTATGCAGCTTCAATTTTCAGATCTCAGGACAAGGTAGGAAAATTTGCAATCAATTAATCTTGATAATGTTTTCCTTCACACTAATTAAATTCAGAGTTGTCAAAAATCATTTAAGGCTTAAGTTAGTGTGCTAAGATCAAGAATGACCTTTATTTCTCAATTAAACCTTGCTAAAGGAAACAATAATTATGTACCGTGTCAAGGCCTAAATTTAAATTTCATTAATTGACTACATCACCATGCCTTTCATAAGATGGCAGCTGATGAAATGTTCTGAATTCAAACAAAAAGATGTCAACTTAAAACTTGTTGTGTTTTCCTTTTGACAGACAAATCAAAAAGAAAAATCCGACATCCCTTTAGACCCAAATCTAAATGCTCCCGGAAAACATAATAATAAACCTAAAACTAAAACAAAGCAAAGCATTCCTGTGTTCACATGTCAGACAGTTGAATTACAGGCTTTAACAGCTAAATAAGTCACAGCTCAGTAGTTGGACGTGGGAACCAGATTGTAACCAATTGTAACCACAAAAGGATGCTCATATTAACAAGAAGCTTCCACCATCCTTACTCCTATTGCTAAATTGAGTACGCAGGGTTAGCATTTTCCAACATTCTCACAACTTACCTTCTCTTATGATTGTTCTTTTTCTTATTTTTTGGGATAATGAACAGTTTTTGCTAATGTCATCTAAGATTCATATAGCCAAACCCAACTTGCTTCGGATAGAGATGTAGTTCTTATAGCATAATTTTTGTGCTTTGTCATTGGCTTGTTTATACTTCGTAGTGACTTGTTTGGTTAAAATTGTTTCCTAGGTGCTACAGTTGGAATTCCTAGTGTAAGTAGCTTGAGAGAAAATTAGATCAGAAAGGATTTATAAGTGTAACTAGGAGGTATTTTTATAACATCAAAAAAAAGTTTAGCTAGGAAGTATTTATCAAGAAGAACCATTTTATTATATTAAGGATCTTACTAATCCCTATGCTGTTGTGTATACTTGGTTTCATTGTCATCAGTCATCACCACCAGTCATATGTTTCCATCGGTGAAAAACAATATATAGGTGTTCCATCATATTTGGAGCTTATGGCATTTTCCTCCATAATGAGAGTTAAAACTGCCTCTTGAAGGGTGATATGAACAGTGTCAGGGAACAAATTTTGTCATGCCATACCGTGTACCAGATATCTTCTTCACTCTCTTTCCTTCTTCGACTTGAGTTCCTTCTTCCTGTCTACTTATTCCCTTCTCTCAGATATCTTCTTCACTCTTCACTCTGTTTTCATACTAACTGCAGCATCTATACTAATGGGTCTAATGTGTAAAACCGTGTCGCAAATATCTCCATTGTCTCTCTATCTCTCTCCGTCATCCCGCTTGAGCTATCCTTCCAATGCAACAGCATCTATTCTAAACCTCTTATTTCATCTCATTCTCCTTTTCCCTGTTATTTCTTTTCTGTCACAAGTGCAGTTTCACTTCTTCCTTCTCTCTGCTTGTGCCCTGCCCTCTTCCTGTATCTCTCTGCATCTTTTCTGCACCTCTTTCTGTATCTCTCCAGCTCCAAATAGTTCTGCATTATTTACTTATTTCCAGTTTTCACAACAGATTTTTCCAGGTCTTTCTGCATGCAGTTCTTTCTTCTATCTAAAGTGCAACAGCTCTGCTCCATCATATCATTCATAATTTGGTATTCAAATCTATTTAAAGACTCACAAGTTCTAATGAACCTTAGATCTTCCAGAGTGCAAAAGAATCTACATAATCTCATGTTCTTTTTCTGCTAAAAGGAAGTCTTACAAGTGAAGATATGGTTAATCAGGCTTACCATGAAAATTGTTTAATGAAACTCATGACTAGCAAAAACGTGTACTACTATATCCACTTTGAAGCCAAAGTATTCAAGAGATATAAGACAATTCATGCTGGAGAAGTTACACTTCCAAAGGCACAAGTTCAGTAGTGTATCACATATTTGCTAAATTACTTCCCCTCTGATTATTTTAAATGGTTTTGTCAAGGAAAATACTTTTAAGCCTATGGACCACACCATTACATTTACAATACATTACCAGATAATATATGTGTACACCATACAATTTCAAATTAAAAACATTATAGTATGATGGCATAACAGCGGGCAGAGTCTGACCTGGGAAGCCGGGGATCAGTCTTGCGCATTTCTCTCAAATCTTCCATTGATAAAAGCTGTGATTGGATTTAAACAAAAGCATAAGGAGAAGAGGCTCAGAGCGCAGTTGCAGATACAGCAGAAATCATTGAACTATAAGAAGGTTACCGTTTCTGGATCAGGCACATCAGGCATTTTTGCTTCTTGGTGATCAAATCCATCTTCATCTTTCTGTCACGTTATATAACAAATGCAGTTTAGTTTTAAGAAAAATATTACAAACATAACAACCAGTAAAAAGATAATGGTGTTATGAACACATAAAAGTGTGTCACATAATCTAACCAAAAAGTTACTGCAATATTCCAGGCAAAAACAAGTGACCCATTGAAGTCCCAATCATCATTGTGAGTCTAGGCCCTAGGGTTTTTCGTGTAGTTGAATCAGGAAAAGATCAGAATACGGTATTCCATGTAGGACTTCAAAACGAGAAGAACAAAGCATTTTAGAAATGACTGAAAGTTGATCAGCCGATCCAATTGTCTTCCCTAGTGAACCAAGCTAACTTTCAACTTTCTTCGTTATTTTGTGAAATTAGAAGATTAAAAGTTAATATCAACATGTGATGCAAACATGATATCCACAGATGGAGAATATGAAGGACAATTTAATAGAATTAAGTTAAGTTGAATTCATTCATAGCAACACTTTCTGTGCTGATACTTCCAATGCATTTTCTTCACAATTTTTATTTCTAGCACATTCTCATTACATAGTATGCAAAGTTCATGCCTTCGCATAAATCTAATCAACTTGCCACAAAAATATTAATTAAGCAAACCTATTTATGCTGAATTGCAAAAGTGAGCCACAAAAAAGGGTATGCTAAGATGTCACCAACTTGATGAAAGGCTGATAAATCACCTGAAATGAAGCTAGCAATGTGAATACGACATTCCCTTTCTGAATTGCATCCACCCTCCGTGTAGCAAAGCTCTTTCCATCACGTACACGGTAAACTTGATATATGATTGGAACTACAATCACAAGTGTGGGACTAGGTAAGATACAAGTTTTTACTCACCAGATTTACATTGGTACATGAAGAAGAGGTTTATACAGATAATTCTGACTGGGATTAAACACTCTATGCCCCAGTGAACTGACTTCCTCAGTCTGGAACACATGAGAAAGTAACAGAGTAACTAAGCCATATCAGCAAACTTTCTTCAATCTAACAGCAATCATTTAGTAAGTCAATAAACAAAATGTATTTCAAAAATCATGAAAGGCTAAAAAAACCATCAATAGCCAGACAGGGAAACACTTTAGTCCTATACATGTTAGCCAATTATTTACTCATAATTTGAGGAGAGCAACGGTGAGATGGGAACCATCTAAAATTTAAGGACAGCTTGTGAAGGATGATGATTCTTCTATCTTGGCAACTGACCAAAGAGCCAGAGCAGAGAAGAAAAGTAAGAAACTCATATTGTTAGCAGAGCTCAGCAAGCTGATACATACTAGAACTAGCAGACCCCAACATGAACATACTGGTTTATTGGAATTTTTTTCTTGTTAGTTCAAACCACAAAAATACTAGTAAATACCTTTTAATTCCTCTAGATTTGTATTACTTCAATAACTCTGGCTATAGAATAAAAATAAAATCAATTTGAGGGCGTTATACTTCCTTAACTGACAGCACATACAGCAAGTTAGCAACAGAAGAGGTTTGTTTGATTCCTCCGCACAACCCAAACAGGGCACAACATGAAGAATCACGGAAAAAGAAATGAGCTTTTATCAAAAAGCCTTCAGCATTCTAAGAACGGTTAGCAAGATGGTTGATGCCTTCAGTAAAAGAAAGTCGCAATCCAATGAAAAGAAGAAATTGAGCTACTGAAAATGCCTAAATCCTACAGGTTGGATGTTTTCATTCTTCAGCACTGGTATTTCTATGACAGACATAATCAGGGTGGAGAACTTTTGGCTATAATTATACACAGTAAACAATGATTTAGGCTCCATTAAGCATCTAAACTAAGTTAGCAGCACTACTACCAAGTCTGTTTTCTTTCTAGTTTATTGAAAAACATATATATATGTACATATACTGATATAGAAATATATGAAGTGGAATTTGAGGATAAAAGAAAAGTGAACTTGTCTTGAATTGGTTTTGTAGACAGTATACAAGAGGCCCCTTTACCAACATTGTGAAAGGTCTGATGCCATGTGAAATAAAAATAGTAGTGTTTTTTTTATAGAAGTAAAAGAACATAAAAAAAGAAGATATTAGCCCTTTGGAGCTCCTAATCTGAAGTTTAGGCTACTAGAAATAAGGTAAATTCAGATTCCATGAAGAAAAGTTCAGATCAAGGAACTTCCCTAATTACCGGCATTCCTAACTATGACAAAGTATTCCATGATCTTAACCTATATATGTAAGAAGATAATTGATAATAATTATAAGTGCCTTGCGGAATAAGGTGGAGAGAGAACTGAGGTGAAGAATGTGGTAGAAAGCCAAACTTCAAGAATAATAGTAGGGTGTTTGAAACTGTAGAGGCTCCAGAATACCCCACCTTTCCTTTTGCTGAGATAATAGGCCTCAACCCCAACAAGCCACTTTCTACGATATAGAAGAAGGCTCCCATATGGGGTAGCGAAGAGGTCAAGAATTGCTGTTGTGTAGGGAGGAAAGATTCCTGAAAAAAGTTTTCAACCCTAGCCAGCTTGCTATATATCTTACCAGCATCCAAGGATCAGTTGGCTATGTGGATTAATGATTGGCAAAGGCAGTTCACTAGTTGTACCTACCTGATGCCCCCTCAATTAAAAGCCAATTAGTCCAATACCACACCGAAGCAACATGCCTACAGTAACACAGAGCCCACACTGGGCCTCTCATCCTCTTTCTGTGTCTTTTCTCGTTGGTGGTGGTTGCAGAGAAATCATTCTACGTTCTAAACTCCACCTTAGAAAGGAAACCAAAACCAGCTAGAAATTTTAACTGGATAAGAAACTGGATGTAGTTATCGAGGGAACTAAAGAGCTTTACCATTGCAAATTGATTCTTTTCATCAGTAGCTTTGATTCAACCTCTGTTCCAAATGTTTAGGGTGTTACAATTTTAAGAATACTAACAAACTGAAAGTCATAATATGTTTATATTTACTAATCAAAATTCAAAAGAAGGTTAAGGTTATTAACATAAACAAATCTCTTTTTTCTCTGCTCAGCATTATGCATACCCGTAATTGCGCACACGTTGTACCTCTTGGAAATTGAACACAAGCAGACATAAATTATTTCACGCATTGCAACTCACTAAAAGGGAAGAATGTCTGCTTCTCCAAAACAACACTAGATAAATCATACAGCTGTGCGCTCTGACATAGGATTCCAAAGAATTCAAAGATATGTGCATTAGCTTATATTGGCTATTTTATTTCAGACATAGCATTGGCAGTAGGCCTAGAGAATAAGTAATCACTAAAAGGTTTTAAAAAAAAAAAGTGCTTAAGGCAAAAAATAATAAAGAAAGCTGCTTACTTTCAAGATCCCCAACAAGAAGGAAGTAGGCATGCAAACTATGAACAATTTTGAGAAAATCAACAGTTTTTGATGCTGCAGCCAATGCCTGCATATTAGAGCATAGAGAACGAAAAAATTATTGACAAAGAGGTCTCAAGTCATCTGAAGTTAAACTCCAATTAAAGTGAGTGGCTCACGGCGTGGCGGGGAAAGAGAACATTTTAATTTTACCTGCCCAATAAACTGACCTCCAAATACTTTCCCAAATCTAGGGGCATCTGGCAATGTTATACCTTGGAAAATGTTCACCTTCAACACAACATTTATGTTAGAACTCCCAAATAATCCTATTTTATAAGGGGACATTGAACTGGTGATACAATGAAACATCAATCCTCCAAAAGAGAAATGTTCCAAAGGAAAACAATCTGAAAGCGCATTTGATTGGATATAGCAATTATCCTGATCTACCAAATTATCTTGAACAATTCAAGCATTCATAAGAACAAGTATCTTATTTCTTAAGCAAATCAAACCTTCAAAGATCTAAAAGCTTGCTAAAGAAAGTATATGAAATAGATGGAACCATGATCCCACAAAAGAAAGACAAGTGACTCGGAGTTCAAAGTGCAATGGTAAAGAATGAAATACTATCACCAGCTATGTACCAAGAAATTCCTCTTTTGCATACTGCCGACAATAGGTTTAGAAGAAATAACCAATGCTTTGAATGGAAATCAAAAATATTTTTTTGCATTGGACCTCATTGACTCCTTGGCCACATAGAGCCTAAGGGAGTCAAGTCCAGTGAGTTTTTCTGAATACACTCATTACCTCCTTGTGCTGCAGTTTATTGGATTAAATTATTTCATGGCAAAACAGAAATATAAATAGAAACTCACTAGTAACTAGAAAAGGGACCATTTCTTTCTTAGCCTAAGTAGTTAAGAATATCAACATCACTTATTAGCAGTATATTCCTGATGCAAGTCAATTAAGTCTCTATTCTCTAACATGAAGCGAAACCCATTTGGCTTACAAACTGAACTCCTCACTAGCATCAGCTATCAGGTGCAACCCATGTCTCTAATTTGGGAGGAGGAAAGACAAGAGAATGCTTTAGTGTTGAGAATTAGTGATACGGGTTTCAAAGACAGAAATATAATGGAGATTAGACTCTTAAATTTTGTTAAAGGACATAGTATGTCATAGGCGGGAACATACCCGAGTATTGGTACATAAACTGGCAAAGATGGCTGAGACTAACAAATTTAAGAAGGAAAGAACAGAAATTTATAGCCAACCTACAAAATTAAAGGAATGAGGGGGGGGGGGGGGTCAATGATTAGGTTACAGAAGGCATAAATAACATACCTCAATAGGCTCCAAGAGCAATATGTGCTCCACAAGTGGACACAGATCTCTTTCTTGATCTGCGTTCCAAATTGATTTGGGCTGGAGCAGATTATTATGCTCATGAGGCAACACTAAGCAGGTCAGCTGTCATTAGAGAAAGTTAGAACATAACTACAAAAATAGATGCAGAATCCCCTGGACATCATGAAATAACTTGGGAAAAGAAACTATTCGATGGTTGGAAAGAGGCAGTACCTTAGACAATGCGATCACCTCGGCAGTCTGTCTAGATGTCGCCAAACCTGCCATAACAGCTCGAACCTTGTAATCACCCAACATTTAAGATTGAAAGTCTAGAAGTGATTGAACATGACTGTGGTACTAATTTAATAGAGGCCAAAAAGAGACCAACAGAGAGGCCATAACTGAATCTGGAATCTGAAGCGACATACAAAATATTTATACAGTAAAAGGTGATAACACTGATTAGAGGACATAACAGGACAAGATAGTCAATTCAAAGATTCCTTAATTTAGGAAGTTGGGATCAAGAGAAATCCAAAAGGCAAAAAATTATACGAAGATGACAAGGAGCACCTTACCATGACCAAAATAATCAAATTTTTTCAGCTGGAATTCAGGACGATTTTCATCATCAGCTTGGCAGAAACCGCATACTTCTGCCTGGAAATAAGATTGCCATAACAATAGAAATATTCAATCTCATGATTTATGTTCACGTACACTCAGACAACAAAGGAAACAAAAAACTCAGAATTACCTCTCCATCCCATATAAAGTAAATTCCATCCACAGCTTCTCCTTCGCGGATAACATAATCTCCACGATCTGCAACGGTAACACACAGTAAATTGAAAAAAAAAAGGTGACCAAACAATCAATAATATTAGGGTTTACTATCAAATGATAAATGCGTCAAATACTGTAACTCTCACCTCTACAAATATTTTGCTATACAGATCTACCATCAAATGAAAACTATGTAAGAACTATGACCATAAACTAAAAGAAACAACTTAAGCTTTTCAAGTATAAGCAAACCCATGCCTACTTCTAAGTGGTAGAATAAGCCAATAAGGGCGGGGTATATACACAATTTCTTCAGAAAAAAAAAATATAACTCCATTAATCAAATGATGAATCTTGATTTTCTTGATATAGTTATAACAAAGCATATAGACTATTAAATAAGACAAATTATTAAACTTTATCAAACTTATAAGAAATAGCATTAAATATATAACCCTACTAATCAAATAATGAATCTTGAATTCTTGGTAACATAATAAAGAAATTACCATAATGTTTAACCTTGACGAGTTGGGCAATTTTCTTGAGGGAAGAACTAGGTAGCCTCTGCAACAATGGCACATCACCCAAGAACTCAATCACTACAGAATCACGAAACAAAATAACTCAAATTAGAACAAAATTCAAAACCCCAAACAGATTTTCATTCCAATTCTGAAAGATTTACCTGATTCAGTATCCATATATTTGTATGAACAGAAAATTAAACCAAGAAATCGACAGTGGAAAGAATTCAATAATTTCAGTCGAAAAAGGCTACAGTTACAATGTTATATGTACTCAAATTTCAATGAGAAACGTAGGAAGGGCCACACGTTTTTCTTAATTAGAGTATTTCTTAAACGTGTCAAATTTAGACAATCGTTTACTTTTACGATAATAGTGTCAAATTTGAATGTTTCGATTTATTTTGCAAGCGTTTGAACATATAATTTTTTATATTGAAATATGAAATTATAAATTAAATAGATTAAATATATATTGTGCCCTTGTTTTCTTTTGGAGGAGGCTTTTTATTTTTAATCATGAAAATAAAAAATAATTTATTCAAAAAAATTAAAGTTTGAATAAAATTAAGTTTGATTATAAATAATATTTATGGTCAAACTGATAAATACGTGTTTCACGCTGATATAACAATTGCGTATGAGGCATTATTCAATATTGTAATATTGGGGGTCTATTCTTCTTTTGTGATATAAAAAAGTACTTCACATGACTAGTGAGTTAGACATGTGCCTTTAGATTTGTGTTTGGAATTATTATTAAAATGGATTGTTTTTGGCACGTGAAAAGGTTATTTCAAAGAAATAGTAATTTATTGTATTGTTAGTGAATTTTTATAAAATTATGTGATAATAAATATTTATTTATAAAAGTAATATGTAGCTGTGTAATTTATCAATTTGATAATTTAGAATATTTTGATATCTTATTTATGAACTGTGTTCTGCTCAGTTGATAAGATTATTGTATAAAAATTAATTTTTTTAGTGTAGTTTCTCATAGCTTGTTAGAAATCGTATCGAACGAAGAGCTTCCTCTACCTTGAGTTCTACTTGAAATTGTGCCTCCAAAATATCTTCTTTAAGACATTCGTTCTGGTAACAACCATAAAAGATTATCATAACCATCAAAAAACAATTACAACTAAAGAGCACCTTATTTCTATTGGTAGAAATGAGGCTTCCAACAAAACAAACAACTAATTACAGCTCTAGTTCTCTAATAAAACTTCTACAATTCTGTGCTCTGTTAGTTTTACAAAGTAAATGTGTTCTCTCCCCTATCTCCTTTTTTATCTACGCGACAGCCTCTACAATATCTACATTCTTATTTCTAAATTTCTTCTAATTTCTAGCATGCCAAGTATGATAAAGCATAGCTCCATAGCAAGCTGCTATAACCTCCTTCTGAAATTTCCTCCAATGCTTCTTCTTGATGTTTTTCAAGACCTGTTGTATACCTCCAGCATAAACACTTGCCCCTGTCCATTTCTGTATCTCTAGCCATAATTTTTTAGTCCATCTACAATGCTCAAACAAGTGAGAATTAGTCTCCACCTGTTCATCACATAGGCAACAATCATTCTCATCATCTTGAATGTGGAGCCTCATTTTCATCTCTTGTGTTAGAAGCCTACCATGTACAGCCAACCATACCAAAAATCTATGTCTAGGCAAGGCCATAGAGGTCCATATTAAATCTGCATTCTTCAATTTTGGTCTCTAACCTATAATTGCCAAGTAGCTACTTGTAATAGAATACTCCTCATCCTTTGGAAGTTGATATATGTCTTGAATATATTATTCATGCATTTGTGCCTTGAGAGAAGTTAGTTTATGCCAATACCAACTACTGTCCACTGGGGCTGTGTGTTGCCAAATAGAGATATCCTCTTTTATATATATGGCATGTCCCCACTTTACCCATAATGACTCCTAGTTAACTGTTAGTTGCCAAATAAGTTGTCCCACAAAGGCAATATTCCAATTACTACTACCTTTTAATGTTTAATCCTCCTTGACTCTTTGGAAAGCATACTTGTTTCTATGATACCAGTGCAATCTTTCTTTTATCCTCAGACCCTCCCCATAGATAGGTTCTACAGATTTTGTCCACTTCTTCCAATACACTCTTTGGAAGGATAAAAGCTGCCCCCTAAAAATTCTGTATAGAAAATAAAATCGTATTTGTCACTTGTAGGCTACCTGCATATGACAGATGCTCAGAATAAGTAACAGTGATCCTTTGCGTGATTTTAGTAATGAGTGCATGACAATCCATCAACTTCTATTTCTTGGGAGAGAGGTAGACCCAAATATTTAATAGGAAATTCCCTGATAGAGAACCCAGTCCTTATTAACAGTTGATTTCTAATGCCATCGTCTACTCCAGCTAGAAACAAGCTTGACTACTCCATATTTGCTTCCAACCCAAACACCTTTGTGAAGTGTGTTAATGCCTTCATAACTCTATTCACAAACTCAATATTACTTTTGCAAAAATCATCAAGTCATCCGCAATATATAAGATGAGTAAGCTTCAATTTCTTACACATGGGGTGAAATCTAAAGTCTGGTAAATTTCTCATACTGTTCAGAATTCTAAACAAATATTCCATCATCACTAGCACAAATAGTAATGGTGAAACAGGGTCCCCTTGCCTAAGCCCCCTGTTACCAACAAAAACCCATGGTTTTCACCATTCACTTTGACTGAAAAATTTAGAGTTGTTACACAGATCATAATCCATTTGACAAACTCCCCAGGAAACCTAAATCCGATCAACATCTCCTCTAAGAACTCCCAACTAACCATGTCATAAGCTTTCCTCAAATTTATTTTCATTAGGCATCTTGGAGAAGCACTTTTCCTATTATAGTGTCTTAATAGGTCATGGTAAATAAACACATTATGCATCATAGATCTGCCTTCCACTAATGCAGATTGATTTGTTGCTACTATATGATTGATTGCTTTACTTAGTCTGCTACAAGTCATTTTTGGTATGATCTTATAGATGACATTACAACATGAAATACCGTAACATTATTGTGAAGAGAAAAAAAAATTGTTTGAATTGATTTATTTTAAATATTTTTTATAAAGTTTGGTAAAATAAAACAATAGTTCTAAACATTCATTTTAAAATCAAAATAGCAAAAACAAATCAACATCCACGAGTTAGAGATCATAATTTATGATTTTTAAGTTATAAATTTACAAAGTCATCTCTAAATAAATGTCACATAAAATAACTCGAAGATACTTGAAATATTTCATACTGATAAATCGTTAATTACAAATTTTATTTTATTTATCAATAATGAAGTCAATAACTCAAAATATATATAATTTTAAAAAATTGTTTTGATAATGTAATTATCCGATTTAATTTGGAACTATTCAAATTATTATATATGGTGTTATGAGTAGAGAAAATTTTGTTGACGGAATTTTAATGTTTGTCAATAGTATAAGGACCAAAATTGATATTTGCTACTAATAATTTAAGGCCCGCTATTTTCAACGTATACCCCAAAAAACCCTAATCTTCAAAACCCCTTCAAAGCTACACTTCCCCCCGGCGCGCGGCGGGGCCCCTCTGTGCCACCGCTCTAGCCGGCGTATCTCCGCTTCTCAAATTTACTAAACCCCCCCAAAACTCCATTTTTCGTTTTGCTTCAAAATTCATCCGAAATGTCGATGTCAAAGAGTTCCAAGATGCTTCAATATATCAATTACCGTATGCGTGTTACAATACAAGATGGTCGTCAATTGATCGGGAAATTCATGGCTTTCGACCGGCACATGAATCTCGTGCTTGGAGACTGTGAAGAGTTCCGTAAACTTCCTCCGACGAAAGGGTCGAAAGAAGAACGTGAAGATCGCCGTACACTTGGTCTTGTGCTTCTCCGTGGTGAGGAGGTTATTTCCATGACTGTTGAGGGACCACCTCCTCCTGATGATTCGCGAGTCAAGGCTACTACTGCCGGTTCTGCAGTTTCCGGCCCGGGAATTGGTCGGGCTGCTGGTCGTGGTGTTCCTACTGGGCCGTTGGTTCATGCTCAACCGGGACTTGCTGGACCTGTTCGTGGGGTTGGTGGGCCTGCTCCGGGTATGATGCAGCCTCAACTTTCTCGGCCTCCGATGCCTCAAGTTTCTGCTCCACCGATTAATTACCCACAGCAGCCGCCTCCAATGATGAGACCGCCTGGTGGGCCACCAATGCCACCGCAAGGTATGCAGATGCAAAGACCTGGGGGCCCTCCGCCTATGGCACCACCACCACAGTTCCGGCCTGGTGGTGGTCCACCACAGTTTCCACCGCAGTTTGGTCAGCGTCCCATGGTTCCTCCACCTCCCATGATGAGGGGTCCACCTCCTCCTAGACCAGGAATGCCTGGTCAACCGCCTCACCCAGGTATGCCACCCCCACCTCCCAGTGGTCAGGTTCCTGTTTATGGACCTCCTCGTCCTGGTATGCCTCCACCGCCCAATGCTCCTCCACAGAACCAGCAGCAATAGTAGAAATGGTTCGTACTGCTTCAGTTTATACTATTTTTTTTTCTAGGTTTTGATATGTTAATTTGAGTTACTATTATATTATCGCGTTAATATTGATAGTTCAGGTGATATAGAAGTAAATCTACCTTCTAAGTTAAAAAGCTTAATGGATTAGAATGCTTGGGAATTGTAGAGCTTTGTATATAATATGAGATTATAATAACGGAACAATGGCAACACTTCAGGAGGTAATGCCATGTATAATTGTATTGGAAGAATTATAATGTATAATCCCTACTTTAGCTCAAATTCTAGAAATTCATGGAGAAAAATTTTTGTCTCGAGCATTTTTGTTTTTGTATACAACTTCAAAGGGAATACAATCCTCTTAAGGCTAATTTTAGATCAAGCAGTAGGAACAATTATAGATTTGGAGCCTCATTTAGTTACTACTATTATAGTTATAGTGTGCAGTTAGCTCAAGCATCAAAAGTTATTTGATTTGAGGCTCCTTAAATTTTTGTTGCAAATATTATATTTGTTAATGTACTTCTCATCTTATAGATTGGTCTAGAAAACTAGAATCTACATGATTGGTTTAACTAGCTCTCATGTACATGATTCTTTCGAAGGTTTTAGGTTGAGCTTCTTTGGTATCATATTGAGAACAGACGATGTTTATGAATTCTTACATCACGTTATTTAAGGACATTTTCTTTTTGGATGTTATTTTTGGACATATGCTTGACCACAATCTAATGTTAGTGATTAACATCTTTCGGTAAGATGTTATTTTATCAAATCCTTGCTGTAGTTGTGTTTATATAGT